TTGGATCATATGGTAGATCTATATTCAGATTTTTGAAGTATCTGCACACCGTCCTCCATAGTGGCTTTACCAGTCTACAATCCCACCAAAAATGGATTAGGGTACCTTTTCCCCACATCCTCACCAGCATTTGTTTTTTGTTGATTTCTGTAAGAAAGCCATTCTAACTTGGGTGACGTAAAACCTCATTGTGGTTTTGATTTGCATTTCCCTGATCGCTAGTGATCCTGAACACTTTTTCATGTGTCTGTTCACCATTTGGATTTCCTCCTTTGAAAAATGTCTGTTTTAGTCCTTTGCCCATCTCTTGATTGGGTTGTTTGTTTTGTTGTTGTGGAGTTTCTTAATCTCTTTGTATATTCTGGTTGTTAATCCTTTATTAGTTACATTGTTTGCAAATATTTTCTCCCATTCTGTCATTTGCCTCTTCACTTTCCTGACTGTTTCTTTTGCAGTGCAGAAACTTCTCAATTTAATGTAATCCAAGTTGTTAATTCTGGCTTTGACTGCCTGTGCTTCTGGGGTCTTTTCTAAGAACTCTTTGCCTATGCCAATGTCCTGCAGGGTTTCCCCAATGTTCTCTAATAATTTGATGATTTCGTGTTGTAGATTTAGATCTTTAATCCATTTGAGTGGATTATTGTATAAGGTGTAAGTTAGGGATCTTACTTCATACTTCTGCATATGGAAATCCAGTTTTCTCAGCACCATTTGTTGAAGAGATTGTCCTTGTTCCAGAGATTGGTTCTAGCTCTTTGATCAAATATAAGTTGGTTGTAGATGCTTGGACTGATTTCTGGTGATTGATTCTATTCTGTTCCATTGGTTTATCCATCTATTTTTGTACCAGCATCAGACTGTTTTGATTATAACTGCCCTGTAGTATGTCTTGAAATCTGGAATTGTGATGCCTCTGGCTTTGTTTTTGTTGTATAAGATTGTTTTAACTATCTGAGGTCTCCTGTGCTTCCATATGAAGTTCAGCATCATTTTTTTCTAGATTTGAAAAGAATGTCTTTGGTATTTTGATTGGAATTGCATTGAATCTGTAAATTGCTTTCTTAAGGATAGACATTTTTTTTTCTTTTCAACTTTTATTTAACAAATATAAATTTCCAAAGTACAACTTCTGAATTATAACAGCTTTTCCCCCCATAACCTCCCTCCCACCCACAACCATCCCATCTCCCACTTCCTCTCCCATCCCATTCTCCATCAATATTCATTTTCATTTATCTTTATATACAGAAGATCAACTTAGTATATACTAAGTAAAGATTTCAACAGACTCACCCACAAAGACACACAAAGTATAGAGTACTGTTTGAGTAGTAGTTTTACCATTAATTCTCATAGTACAACACATCAAGGGCAGAGGTCCTACATGGGCGCAGGTGCACAGTGACTCCTGTTGTTGATTTAACAATTGACACTCTTATTTATGACATCAGTAATCACCGAGGCTCTTGTCATGAGCTGCCAAGGCTACGGAAGCCTCTTGAGTTCACCAACTCCGATCTTATTTAGACAAGGCCATAGTCAAAGTGGAAGTTCTCCCTTCAGAGAAAGGTACCTCCTTCTTTGATGGCCCCTTCTTTCTACGGGGATCTCACTCACAGAGATCTTTCATTTAGGTTTTTTGTTTTTGTTTGTTTGTTTGTTTGTTTTTGCCAGAGTGTCTTGGCTTTCCATATCTGAAATACTCTCATGGGCTTTTTAGCCAGATCCTAATGCCTTAAGGGCTGATTCTGAGGGCAGATTGCTGTTTAGGGCTTTTGCCGTTCTATGAGTCTGTGTGGTGACTCTTCCTCATCACTGCCAGAGAATTAGGCAGGCTGCCCACAGCTCACGTTGGCTGAGGAGGCGAAGTGTGCCACCCGCCACTCAGCCTCCCCAAACCCAAGGGGACAATCAGACGCGGTGGGGAGTTGAGTCGAAGCAGGATCTCACTTTATTGTAAAAGGGAGGTGTTTATAAAGCTGCAGTACAGAGCACATGCAGGCAAGGGGTGGGGTGCTGTGATGCAAAAGGGTTTTAGCCAATCCTGTTATACCACCTCAGTTAGGCAAAAGCACCCTGGGGCTGGGTCATTTACCGCCAGGGATTTCAAACTTAAAGACAGGTCTTCAAACTCGAGGCAGGCTTGGGAGGATCCTCTAGGCCTTTCCGGATTCAGCCTCCCCCACAAGTCTGCTGTGTATCCCACTTCCCATATAGGATCATTCTCTCCTTTTTAATTCTATCAATTATTTACAGACATTGGTCTTATTTATGTAATCCCTTTGACACTTAATTTTATCTTTTTGATCAATTATAAACTTAAACTGATCACTTTAACAAGTAAGATGGCATTGGTACATGCCACCTTGATGGGATTGAATTGGAATCCCCTGGCACGTTTCTGGCTCTACCATTAGGGGTAAGTCTGAGAGAGCATGTGCCAAACTGTACATCTCCTCCCTCTCTTATTCCCACTCTTATATTTAACAGGGATCACTTTTCAGTTAAATTTAAACACCTAAGAATAATTGTGTGTTAATTAAAGAGTTCAACCAATGGTATTAAGTAGAACAATAAAACACTAAAAGGGATAGCATATTAAGTTGTTCCTCGACAGTCAGGACAAGGGCTGATCAAGTCATTGTTCTCATAGTGTCCGAGGATGGACATTTTGATGATGTTGATCCTTCCAATCCATGAACATGGAAGATTTTTCCATTTTTTTTTATCTTATTCTATTTCTTTCTTAAATGTTTTGTAATTCTCATTGTAGAGATATTTGACATCCTTGGTTAAATTTATTCCAAGTTACTTGATTGCTTTTGTAGCTATTGTGAATTGGATTGATTTTAGAAGGTCAATTTCAGCCTTATTACCTTTGTCTTAAATGATCTTTTTGTTTTTGGAAGATAACACTAATTTATCTTTACTATATCAATACCTGTATAATAATTGTGGTGCTGGTATTGCAGATTTTAGCCATGTCTATAAAATACCTTTATTTTCATTTTTTTCTGTTTTCTTTTAAATTCTCCACCTTTTCTGTTCAGTTTTGTTTTAAATTCCTCACCAAACCTACAATGACTCCTGGAAAAGATAGTTACTGATGAATTATTACTAGCTGAAGTGAAGGCTTTGTGAAGAAAGTAGTTTTTATTATTTAAAGTATCTGTTGAATTCAGTGGATGAACAGACTTGAAGGTGGGAAGGCTATATAAACGAAGTCATAGTAGCTTGGAGCACAGAATTCAGGAAACATTATTAAACTGAAAATTCCTGAACTAGTGTGTTGAAGTAGCTATAGAAATCTGAAAATTTTTAGAAAGTGTGCATTATATTTCATATGAGCAAGGTACCTAGCACTTAAAAATTTATAGGTGGGTCATTTGGGGGTTTCAAAGAATTTCATATTAGTGTAGTATGTTGATCATATTTTTGTTTTTAAAAATAAGGAAACAGGCCAGCGCTGCGGTTCACTAGGCTAATCCTCCGCCTTGCGGCGCCGGCACACCGGGTTCTAGTCCCAGTTGCCCCTCTTCCAGGCCAGCTCTCTGCTGTGGCCAGGGAGTGCAGTGGAGGATGGCCCAAGTGCTTGGGCCCTGCACCCCATGGGAGACCAGGATAAGTATCTGGCTCCTGCCATCGGATCAGCGCAGTGCGCCAGCCGCAGCGCACCGGCCGCGGCGGCCATTGGAGGGTGAATCAACTGCAAAGGAAGACCTTTCTCTCTGTCTCTCTCTCTCACTGTCCATTCTGCCTGTCAAAAAATAAAAAAATAAAAAATAAAAAAAAAATAAGGAAACAAAGTTAACTTTAAAAGAGAAATTCAGAAGTATGACACACCCAACTTTTCATGGGATTTTTCTGAGTGTGGTCACAGTTTGGTCACTACATTCATGTTATCTGTCACTAGATGGAGTTCATGAGTCCAAGGAATTCTTGGTTGGCCTTGGCCTCTTCCTGTGATTTCTGTTCTGTGCCTTTAAAAGGGAGAATAATACTTTAAAAGAAAATACCAGGTTTTTTTAAATGACAGAATGTTTGGATTCACCTTCTAAAAAATTTCATCAGTTTATAAAACTGTAAAATACATAGGTACTTCAAAAAGTTCATGGAAAAATTAGATTAAAAGCTAAGTTTATTTTTGGTGCAAAACTTTTTGAAATCCACACACATGCTTTTCAAAATATAGAACTTTCCACTTTTTGAAGATCCCTCTCATTGTCTTTTTGAAAACCCCTCATAATCTTATAAGGTCTTCACATTCTTGCCCTCCAAAATATTTTTTGGAAAAGACCATCAATATTTAATATAAGTTGCCAATCTTTGTGGTGATAAATACATTTTAATTTACTATTTTTTAATGTCAGTTTAAAAATTAAGTTGTAATCCTCGTTTCCAGTGCCCCAGTATTCAGGAGTTCTTGATCTCAATGCTTTCATACATTCCCTTCCACCCATGATCTTCCTTCAAATACCAGTAAGAATGTGTTGCATGTTAACTGTCAATTCTTAGCATAGTGCAACAAAAACTTGCTTTTCCAAAACTATAAACTTCTCCAGTAGTGTAGCCTTCTCTCTTTAATGCTGAGAAATTCCTTATATATCTCTGTCATTGCTTCTTAGCACTCTGTCCAACACATATATTCAACAAATGTTGAATGACCAAACAAAAAACCTTACATGATATGAGGCATCATGAGAGAAAGGTTAGAATAAGCAAGTTTTCTTTACCAAGGCTGTTAAAAGGTAAGAAGCCTGAGGCTAACAGTAGGTAATAAGATCTGGTGAGTGTTCCAATCACATACTTCCTATGCTGTTTATTTTGGGTAGGATCTGAACAATGGGAACAGAGTAGATGAAAACATAAAGTGGTTGCAGAAAAGATCTTGGGAGCTTTCCAGGAGTCAAAGAGAATGCAGTTAATTTAGTTTATCTTGTATGCAAGGCAATAGTGGGCAAGGTCTGATCTAATTCCTTTTTTGTGTCTTTCTGCTATAGCACGTGTCCTTATAGTCGGCCTCCCTTTGGTTATGGAAATTTTCCAAGTTCAATGCCAGAATGCCTTGGTTATTATGAAGACAGGTACCAAAAACATGAGGCTATGTTTTCAGCTTTAAATAGAGACTATCCTTTTAGAGACTACCCAGATGAACGCACACACAGTGAAGATTCTCAGAATTGTGAGAGCATGGATGGGACCTCTTACTATAACAGTCATAGCCACAGTGGGGAAGAGTACTTAAATCCCATGCCTCAGCTGGACATTGGAGCCTTGGAGAACGTCTTCACAGCCCCAACATCAACTCCCTCTAGCATCCAGCAAGTCAATGTTACTGACAGCGATGAAGAGGAAGAAGAAAAAGTGCTCAGGAATTTATAATTTTAAAACCATATGCATAGAAAATAAACATTTCTTAAAATATATCTGGGTCAGTTGGTGTGAGAAAAAAAGGCTAGAATGCTTTGCTAAGAGTTTTCAGCCATGATTTGAAGAGTCAAAACCAAATGCAGTTTATATCTTCATAAAGTTTTGATTAGTGGAAGTATAGTCCTGTTAATTCATCATAGGAATATTTAAAATATGAAGTAGCTTATTTTTATGGCTGAAATTTACATCAACATGTATTATCTTTATCTTGGCATGCCAGCTATAAAATATGGAAGCTTCACAACTGTATGTGTGTGGAAAGGGAATATGTATATACACACACACATATATACAATTATATGTATGTATCTGGCATGACAAGTATGAATTTTTATTTTATCTCAGGATACATTTGTTTATTTTTTGTTTAGTATTTATGTGATGTCTGTGGATGTTGTCAGTTTTTATGTAACATTTTGAAAATGTTCTGATAATTTTTAGTAGTGAACTGGAACTCAGTTACTAAATTTAATTTATAGAATAAACAATTATAGGTTGCAAATGTCTTTTAATGGCAAATGGCTAATTCCTTCAGATAAATTTAGTCATTTCTGTTCCTAAACATTTTTATAATTTTTCAATATCTTTTCCATTTGGTATTCATTGTTCTATTTTGTCATAATTAAAAAAATAGACAAAATTATTCTTGTTGGATGTTTTTTGTTTGGGGGATAGAAATAAGCACCATTAGTATTGTTCATTTAAGGTAATTTTCCATACTATATACATATATTTATTTTTACTTAATAGCCTTCAGAATTGCATGGATCCTTAACTTTGCATGAGACTTCAGCTTGTATCAACAAAAATGTGCACACATTCTGATGCTACTTCCAAACTCTACATGTGTGTAAATGTGACTTAAATACTCCCCAGAATGGAAGAGCTCTTTCAGATCTGGGTCAAGCAACTATCTTGAAAACCATGGAATTTTTTTTTAAAGATTTATTTTATTTATTTGAACGACAGAGTTACAGAGAGAGGTAGAGACAGAGAGAGGGATCTTCCATCCCTTGGTTCACTCCCCAGATGGCTGCAACAGCAGAAGCTGTGCTGATCTGAAGCCAGGAGCCAGGAGCTGCTTCTGGGTCTCCCACATGGGTGCAGGGGCCCAAGAACTCAGGCCATCTTCTACTGCTTTCTCACGCCATAGCAGAGAGCTAGATTGGAAGAGGAGAAGCCGGGACTCGAACTGGCACCCGTATGGGATGCTGGCACTTCAGGCCAGGGCGTTAACCCACTGCGCCACAGTGCCAGCCCCTCTGATCATTTCTTCTTTGCTGGGACCCTGAAAATTCTTTACATCTAGTTCTTCACAAAAGAACAAATACATTATTGGGAACTGTAGTCACCCCACTGTTCTGTAGAACACTAGAACTTACATGGTGCTGGCCCCACCATGGAATATTTTTAATAGCATGTGGAATTTAATTCACAGAGAATAAAAAAATCTCAATTCTTGGTGCCCAGTTATAGAAAGAGGAGACCTTTTTAGAACAGAATGAGGACCACATGAGTTGGAATATCATGGCAAAACACAGACAGATAAGGCATATAGTGAAGTCATGATGGGAAACAGCAAGAAATCAATACACTTTTTCTCAGTGATCTGCATAACTTTTGCAAATGAAGATTTTATTACTGAAAACTCTTGAAATTTGTATATAGAAACCTGTTTTCAGCTTCCAATTTCTTTTACCAAACCTGCGCTTATTTTTTTAAACAAAGGTTGTTAATATAATATATACTTCATGAACCCAATACTTACTGTATTTACCATTTTCTCCCCCAGTAAAATTTATTTTTGTATTTTTATTCTTTATTATTTTGCACAATACCATTTTGATGTGGTTAAAGAGCGAAAGTTGAATTTCTTGGTTGATAGAGGGCAAACATTGTTACTTCACATGTAAACTAAAGCACCATTGGGTTATCCATATGTTTGATGTTTTTGCTATGAAGAAATGTAAGCAATAATTTGACCCATTTGATTCATTCTTCTTTTAATAGCACCTTTGTGACTAAACTTGGTTTTTATCATAGACTTTATTCCTATAGACAGATTGGTTGGGGGATGGTACAGAACAGAGTTCAGTATTTCCTAACTACTTGTCTTCCTTCCTTCCTCTGGTGCCTTCTTTTCTTTCAGATTGTGCAACTCTTTTGGGGGGGGGGGGTTTATTTGTTTATTTGAAAGATAGAGTTACAGAGGAAGAAGGAGAAACATTGTCTTCCATCTGCTGATTCACTCCCCAGAGGGCTGCAATGGTCAGGCAGAAGCCAGGAGCCATGGTCTCCCATGTGAGTGGCAGGGCTGAATCACTTGGGCCATCTTCTGCTGCCTTCTGAGATGTATCAGCAGGGAGCTGGATTAGAAGTGGAGCAACTAGGCCATGGACCAGTGCCCACTTGGGATACCAACATCACAGGCAGCAGTATTATCTGCTACGCCACAATGCTGGACCCTGCAACTCTTTTATTCTTTTTCTACTTCTTCCTTAGTGTTGAGATCATATGCCAGAAGTTTCAATTGTTTACATATCTACACTAGAATTTAGGTCGGGAAATCTGAGTATCCCTTATTTAGAAAAGTACCCAGCTGCAGATATGCATGCCTGACTGCAAATGCTTGTATCTGCTTATTTATAGCTCTGCAAACTACTGACTAGAGATCTACAGACTAAACAAAGGCCTGTCCCATTGGCAGTAATTCATCCACCTCTCCAAGTGATCAAAGTGAAATTCTCTAAGCTGCTTTCTAATAGGTCTTGCCTTGTTTGTTCTTATGAATTGGAGGTAATGACATTTGCTGTAAGAGTAGTCTCAAAATATGTTGAAATGTCAGTACGTTTAGAATGACAAATGGTTCTGTGCTTTGGTCAAAGCTGGCCATTTGCAAATGAAAAGTTTCACTGCAAATAGACTGAAAATAGATTTGGTCTTTCACGTTGCTGAGTTAGCAAGTTTAGAAAGGCAAGAAAGTGTGGTTCTCTACATATGTTAGAAGCCAAAGCCTTTTAGATATTCTGACAAAGTTTGGTCAAATAATTGTTTGGAAACACATGTCATGACCCCACCTTGGAGTATATCAGTGTATATTGTCATTGTAATGACTCAAAAGTCTTGCAGTAAAGAAAGAAATTGAACCCTGTTTTATCTTAGTGTTTTGGAACTTCATAACATGTATGCCACAACATTACCCCATTCCCATTTTTGGTGACATAATGCCTACTAACACATCAGAGAAAACAATTAGGGAAATGCTGGTGGCTTTGGTGTTTAAATCGTTGACTTCACTTATGGTTTTCAGCATTGGCCATCTCAAACCTGTCAATGAAAGAAAGTTGTGCCTGAATGAACTGTTTTCTGCATTAAGTAATAGTCATAAAGGATGGAAGAATTGAACCTTACAAATGTTGCAAATTGCCATTGGCTATTAAACTGTTTTTTTTTATTAATGAAAGTTGATATTATACCCAAGAATTCAAGTAGGCAAATGTGCCACATACTCACACAAGTATATTTTTCACCATATCAACCAGCTATTTGTAGGATTATTCATGAGCCAAAATTATGAGCTGCTTTTGAAAGTTGTAGTGGGAATAGTTGGAACTGATTTTAAAATGAAGTTCTGGGGATTCTCTGAACTATTTCTGATATTTGAAAGTAGTTTAATGTGGGTGGAGTAACTCTGAAATTTTTTTTGTTCTGCATTTTGAAACAGATTCTGTTGAGACATCCTTTTTTAGCTTTCTGAATCATCTTCACATTTTAGGATTTAAGAGAAATTCCAAAGGCATCACTGTAAAGCTATCTGAAACAAGTGTTGAAGGCTTTACAATTTTATCTAATTCTATTTAGTGAAAAATTCCGTATCCTTTGATTTACTTTTTCTCTTTATGGTCTGCATTCTCATGGTCTGATCCAACCTTTCAAGTCTCCTTTGTGATGAGTTTAGCACAAATTTTAGTAAAATTTTCCTTAAATAATATTTGCAAGCAAAGGGGTAAAATGGGGAAAGGCTGCTTGCTACACCCTTATATCTGGCTCCTTCCTTGAAACCACATTAAGGAAATATCTTATTTCTAAACAAAACAAGAATAAAAAACAAAACGAAAGAAAATGAACAATATCTTACCTGTATTCTCTTTCAAAGGAAGAACTTTAGAAAGCTAAGTTTTTACATGCGCTTCCTACAATATGTTCTGTAGAGGCTGGCAACCCCTTCTAGAGCATGTCTTTTCTTTGAAGCCATATGTAATTACACAAGTTCTAAGTGATGGAAAGGTGTAATGTAACGAATTACCCAGGTCCTGATTTTCCCAGGACAGAGGGGAGGGAGTTACAGGAGGTGGGATTTTTAGTGCCAAAATTGAGAAACTCCTGGGCAAACATGGACAAGTTGGCCACCCTATTGAATAAAATGAATACTGAATTATCCAGGCAGCTGGAAATGGCAAATTGTGCTATGCAGATGTAAAATTTGAAATTGCCAAGTCTCTTTCTCCAAGAAAGATTATAAGTAAATTTGTATGGAGCATACAGAGGAAGGCTTGGGATAGGATTCAGGAAGTATAGAGAATGGAGAGGTCCTACTAGAGACCTAGCAGTATGTAACTATTAATACCTGGGGTTCTTTTATCAGAAAACTTGTTTACTTATTTACTTCCAAGTTTACTTGGAAGCTTAGAAATACTTTGCTTACAAACCAGAGAGAGTGAATGTTTTATTAGAGGAGTGTTAGCCTAGAGTTTTTAGCACAATACAAAGCTGGGCTGCTTTGACACAGATAATGTCCCAAGTCAAGTTTTAGACTCTGAGACACTATCTTTGGCAGTGTATTTCAAGGTTCCACTTCTAACAAAATGAACTCGGGTGCTGGATAAAAATACAGCCATTCCTGAGATGTATAGAATCAGAATTTCTTCAACTAGACCCTAGGAATCTTCATTTTTAATAAGCTTTTCAGGTGATTCTTAAGCACACTTACCATTGATACTATTTAACCTGAGACTTATTTTCAAGTTTTATTTGTTATGAAAATAACAAAACCATGTTGAAAGGAACTTATAGAGGAGAAAAAAAATTTAATCTATCTAATATTGTTTTTATGACATTCTTTCCAATATTTGACCATGTACTCACACATTTTTTGCATAACTATAATAACATAAATACAGTTTGCTCAACAGGTTAATATGAGCATCATATAGCTTCAGGCAGTTAGACAAAATAATCATATGAAAGGATTGGAATTACAGTTTCTTTAAAACATCTCAATAATCTGTCTTAGTAGATTTCAATGTTGTGAAATCAGAGAGAACTCTTACACATGGAGGGAGATTTTTTTCTCTAAGCACTCATTGTTTCTGGGATATGATGGTTTTGAAGTCACTGTTGGGCTGAAGTCATTTCCGTTCTGAGAACTGAATAGCTAGGGGGTAGGCAGATATTCCAAGATGATTTTGGGT